ATCATTTGAATAAAGTATTACGAGAAAAAATTAAAATATTTTCATTTTATTTTAAAAATGATTAGAATCTTTTAATTTTTTTATAAGATTTTATTAAATTAGTAAATTTTATGTATGAGTATCCCTATTATATATATACACACACATGAATATGAAGAAAATATATAGGGAGTAAAAAAATTTATACCTTCTGGGCATGGAACTATTGTTTCCTAATCAATTCAAGTGCTTTTGAAGAAGGTTGAGAATGCAGGTTGCAGAATATGGAATAGAAAAACCAACAATGATACAATCTGCAAAAGAGAAATGAAATTAATTCTACTTTAATTTATACTTTACAGCAAAGAGGCTAAAAATTTTTAAATAAATATGAGAATTCAATTTAATTAAATTCTTAAGGGAATTTATTTATATGAATTTCATTTCATTTTCAAACTAAAAGATAAGGAATAAAAGAAACAAAAGTTGACTTAAGGAATAACTTACATATCTTCAAAAATTTTAGGTTAAAATACTTAAAAACTCTTAGATCTATAAACGATAATGAGAAAAAAAAATGGAGAATCTGATTATCAAGTCAAAACATAATTAAGTAGATACTACCAACTAAAAAAATGCATCAAAGATATAATATATAGATTTATTTATATAGTGAAATGCATCAAATAACTTCATAAAATCAAACATATCCATTTATGTGATACATTGAGAAATAAATATGCTTGCTATGACTGAGTTGACCTTGAAATAAGTAGGAGTAGACACTACCAACTGAGAAAAAAGATATATTGTCATATGTAGATTTAAAAAAAGAGACAAAAATCAATTGTAAAATATAGTTAATTTAAAAAAGACAATAATTACAATTTTCTCCAAATGATTAAGAATGACTTTAATAAGGATAAATCTAGCAGAAGGCTTCTTCACAAATTGCTCGGATATATACTTTTTAGTTGCTTCAAAGATTTTCAAAGAAAATACAATAAAAGTAAAAACTAGAAAAGAAAAGCACTCTAATTAAAACCTGTTACTTTGGAGGAGAATGAGGAGAAAGGTTATAATTTAAAGAAAGAAAATATACTATATACTAAGCTTAAATAATTTAGTGATGAAGTTAGCAAAGCTTATATTAAAATCAAGGTTTTGAGAGAAGCAAAATCAAGGTGAAAAAAAAAGAAAAGAAATAAAACACATAGTGATTGAAATATATATACCAGCTGGTTTAGAACTTGTGCTTCCTCAATTACAAGGTTTGAGAGACAAATTGCAGATAGTAGAATATGTAGTGGATCTTACCAACATGATGCAATCTGCAGAAAATAATTTAAATTTAGATGATTAGTGGTACTAAATTGTAGTAGTACATGAAATCAATGGCTGAAAAGTATGTTGGGAAACGAAAAAGAGGACCGAACCATTGGTGAAGCCATTTGAAGGTGAATCTCATCGGTTGCATAAGAAAATATGTATTTGAATCTGCTTTTTGTATTTGAATCTGCTTAGCGGAGAAGGAAAGCAGTGAAATTAAGAAACGGTTTTCCCAACCGTGGAGAATAACCTTGTTAATTTCCTTTTTTATGTAAATAATTATAAAAAAATTACATAAAAAAAATATATAAAAAAATGAGTGAAAATTATGAGGCTGCTTGAGAAATTTTAAAAAGTAAATTCATTTTAAGTAAATTATTCTTTCATAAATT